GTATGTAATTATGTATGTATGTATGTATGTATGTATGTATGTATGTATATTATATATATATATAATGTGTGGACATATACAACCATAGAAAAATTACATAAGCATGAATAAATTAGACAGACGACATCAATACATTCATTAAACCCCGTGAAGTTCTTCTACTATTCATTAATACTAATGGAAGGACTACTACACCATTGCGCTAACTGTTTATAGACCAAACAGGACCACACAGACTTGGTAAAATTAATCCGATTCGAACAAAGACTGTTATAAACTGTACAGGATCTTGAGGTACATTGAATGCACGACATTTGGCCACACATACACGCAATGAGAATTTCGATTGAGCCTACGTGCGAAATACTAAGACTCATATCCGTGGACGGTGGAGCCCATGTTCGCCCGTCTAATAGTGAGTATGTAGCATCAAAAAAGTGCGGCTTTTTATACTTTTTGTAAGCAGGTTGCACTGCACGTGCCAATCCAAATCAACTTGGGCTTTGCAAGATCTCAAATATTCTGATTGTGTCGCAATATCATCTGGCAAGTGTCTATTCAACAATCCGTTGCATTAGTTGACATACAAGGACAGCGTACATTGGTCTGGTATCATGACGTTCTTAGTTTGCGACGAGACCATCAAGGACGGTGACACGGTCGTATTTTTCCGAGTAGGTCTATATCTTATGGCTGAGGTTCTTTATAGACCATTTTATGGTAATTTTTTAAAGTGTTTTGTATCGTACAGTGCAGAATAACCGCGATTAGGCAACCTATTCGATGCTGTTTTGATTCGGACCTTTATTGACCGAATCAGACCATCCTGAACCATCCACGAAAGGTGCTAGTGTTTTTATTGACACTCTCATCTCCTCGCGCCTGCTCAGTTGTGAGATGTTCACTCACTTAGCTCGTTTCAATAGACTATCTCAAGAACTATTCCAAAATATGTGTAGACTGGTACATATTCAGCAACATTTTTTATACTTCCATTAAAGTATTTTTGATTACTCATAGCGACTGAATTATATATATATGTGTGTGTGTGTGTGTGTGTGTGTGTGTGTGTGTGTGTGTGCGTGTGTGTGTGTGTGTGT